TATTTTATGTGTCTCATTAAGATTATGAAAATGAGCATAAATTTATTAATTTAAATTAATTTTATGGATGTAAAAGGTTCTTCTGGATGCATTTAATGATGCTTATAAGTATGAAGCATAGAATCGTGATCAAATGGAAATGAGAAATCTTAATTAAAAAAATCAATTTCATGCGGTTTCATCAGTTTTGTCTTCTTCCTTCATTTCAAGTCTCTAACAGGCTTTATAGGAATGAGAAATCACGTGGCATAAAGCACCAAATAGATTCTGTGATATGTGCTGTACAGGTAGAAAGTCATTAGAAATGAGAAACGCAAACAAAAAAAGATAAAAATTTCACAGAATGAACAGGTTTGAGTTTTGTTGCTGCCTTGTTGCTTATAAATCCTTCAGATCACGCATGCAAGCACAAGTGCAAGACTTACAGCAAGAACATCAGTTGTGCGGATGTAGAATTAAAAAATTCATTCATCGCATCATAAATTCAGTCAAATAAATTGTCATGCTGAATGCCATAAAGGCATAAAGAAATGGAAAGGAAAGAGACGAACAAGATAAGACATCAGAACTGACTTTGTGTTCATCCCGTGAGAATTTTTCTTATGTCTTTGAGATAAAAGTAAAATAAACTCTCTCATTATTGCTGCTGTGCCTTGTTGTTGTCTTCTTTTGTCAATTGCTATTATTTGTGGATGATGAAAAGTAGCGGATATTAACAATCATAAAGATTAATCGCCTACAATCAACAGAAACAGTAGCAATTTCTAGAAAAAAGTTTGTGCATCAATAGAAATGCTTAGTTCTTCATTTTATCTTCAAAATCGTCAAAAAGAATGAAAAGAAAACGAAATGAAATGAAAAAGTTCATTGAACTGCCTCAAAAAAGTTATGTATAGACAAAGATGCAATAAGAATATTGATGATGGAAATGCCAATGCATTGTTTCTTCTCTTTTCATATTCATGCCCAGATTGTCAGCATCTTTCAATAAGAACAAGCATAAATGTTTATGGAACTGAATTGTCGGCAATGCACAACAGAGTAACAAGCTGGAACAATGCAATGTTATTGTTGATGCATGAAAATACTATAAGAATCTCTATAAGAACATCAACATATGTATTGTAGCACCAAAAAATTCTCTTCCATTTATCTAAACGAATAAATAAACAGAACGGCATTGCTGCATAAATTTACCATAATGACACAGACATTTACACACGTCCTCATTAGAATGCAATTGACGTTTTATTCAGAAAAATAAAAAGAAACAATTTTTTCAGTGCAGTAGGACGTGAAAGTCAAGTTTTGTAGATCTTGTTCCACTCATACGTGATCCACAAATGGAAGGAGGAACCGATCGTAAATAATAATGCAAAATTTCATTATTTAGACATGTAAATCGTGTTTCTGGAAAATTCATTCCCATGTTGATATGCTGTGCATTACCAGAATTGCTATAAGATAATTAGAAATTTGGTATAGAGGCGAATCCAATACGAACAGAATCAATAAAAAGAAAGGTGATGATTTATCAATTTAAGTGTGAGCCGAGAAATTCTATAGCTGATTGAAATATCCAATAAAAACTAAAATGATGTTTGAATTAATTTTCTATGCATGAATATGCCTTAGTAATTCATCGATCCACAGTTAAATATCCGTGCTTTCTTTTTGTTTGGAATTTTTAAGACAAATTAATGTAAATTTCGCATAAAGTGGATCCTATTCATTCTTTATCTATTTCTTTAATTCAAATCAATTTAATTTAAATTTTATGGCATCAAAGATCATGCAAAAAAAAAGCTTAATGCTGATAAAATTGATTCGTTCTGTTTTGCTTGGTAATTCAGTAGACAAAAAACTGTTCTTTGATTTATTGTTACATAAATTGGAGGATATAAAAAAGACAAATTATGGACATTTAAGGTATTTTATCAAGACACCTTAGATTTATGATAAGTTTATAGCTTATGCTAGGTGCAAAAAGTAATTTATTATGGATTTTATTCATTCATGAATTAATTTCAATATTTAGAAAGTTTTGAATAGAATTTTGACACTTTTATGGGATTTTTAAAATTGAATTCCTTAAAAATGACATCAATTATATCCAAATATAGACAATTCAGTCATTGAAAGCTATAGCAACCCACAAAAATAAGCAAACAGTCGATTCTGATGCAAATTCAAAATCAGCATCAAAAAATTATTTTATATCCCCAAAAAAATTATAAATTCCACAGGCTTAGAATATTCAATTAAGCATCAAATCCTATGAATATGAAGAAGATTTCAATGTTAATTGAATATTTAGATGAGCATTCATAAAATTATTAATCCCTTTCTAAAATTTCTAAAAAGTAACAGAATGGAGCTTTACTGCATTACGTGTTCATGCATTATTAATGCCAAGCACTTAAAAAAAATTATGGAATTTTTATTGCTGAGAAAAGCCTCAAATTGAATGGGGAAAAACTATTGAATGTGAATCTTTGTTCCTCTCTAAAGAGGCTTAGAGGCAGAGTTGGATGATTGTGGCTGTGATGGTGGGAAGCTGACTGAAATTTTGAATAGCTTATGAGTATTGTAGGTGCTGGAGATAGTTTTGAGGTGATTTACAGTTGATAATTAGTGTTCTGAATTGTTAAGAAGTTTCAAAAGATAGAAGCAACTCAATAGATTCTCAAAATGAGACGATAAGCTCATATGCTTCCTTTCCATGATCTCCATGATGTTCAAAAGAATTCATGAGTTTTACAGGATATATTGACTGCAAATACTGATGATCTCAATTCTCATACACAATTAGGAGTTATAAAAAGAGTAGAAAATAAATATTCTACCTGACTCGATCCTCAATAACCTAACACATTCGCTAGAAATTCACAGCATTGCATGAACTCTCAATCTGAACTTTAGTATCTCACACTCAAATTGAATCTGCGATCGCATCTTGCAGAATGATCACGAAATTTTCCTTGTTCGCGTACGGATAGGAATACCAAGTTTACGTGACGAGTGAGTTCAAGAATAGAAATCATTTCCTTAGCAATAATCATGCTGTAGAATCAAACATTTTCATCACAAATGTGAAACGAATAAATTTATAGTTTTACACACGTATTGCATTTAACACTGATAAAATTACACAATGTACATGACGGCTAGGAGAACTTCACTGGATATTTCATTTTTTTTCATGCTTAATGCCATGCCTTTCTATCTTCACTTAAGCGAAAAATCTTTTTTCAATTCTTTTCTTAGTTTTTCTGCCTCAGAATCAATTGAATTTTATTTCCAAGTTCCATAGATATTAAACTAATAATAGCTAGTAATATTGTTAAGTAATAGAAATAAATTTCATTGTTGTGGATATAGCGGAAGTTCATTCTTGAACAAATCTTTCTTCATGAATTTCTAATTTTTATGATATCCACAATATATTTTTTTATGAGCATTGTCTAATAATGCTGCCTTCTTATAATGTCCATAATAACTTTGCTTTTAGCTTTCTCATGGATAGTCTTAAGTTTATAATTCTATTTGTTTTATTCTTCTTCAGATTCATCGATACACGGTTAAATCATCTCCACCTGATTAATTATTTCCGCATTAAGAGCTTTTTTCTTATTTTCAGCTCATGTTAATCAATTAGCAATTTTAAAGATTCGCAAAATATGTTCTGTGTAGGAAATTGGACGTGATTTAGATGAGGTTAACATACAGTGTTGTAATTTTGAAAGGTTTTGGAATTTTATTGAGAATTATGAAATTCTGTTGATTTATTGTGAATTGAAGAGTGATGATAGATTGAATAAATGTGTAGATTGGATGATCAATCTTTCAAAGTGTATTTTGTTTAAATTCTTTGAGTTCTTTCAAATAGAGTTACAGATTTGTTTATGAATATTGCAAGATATATAGATGTGCTCATACAAAAATATCGCAGTTTTTAAACGTCAAAAAAATTTGAATTTTCTAAAAACACTAACACTATAAAAGAAAATTTTCAATTTTTGTTTTGCAAAATTTTCAACTTTCTGTTAAGTTTTGTTGATACAGGAGTATTGCAAATGCTTTGCTATAATTAAAAGTAACTGACTAAAGTCAAATGTTGTTGCATCTGTCGATATTTAAATGAAAACTTGAAAATAGAAAATTTTAAAAATTTTTGTTTGTATAAGTACACAAAAAATAGTATGGTCGAGTATGGTCAAGTATACTCTGTATGAGCCCATCTATATATCTTGGAATATTGTTTGAATTTTGAGAAATATTTCAATATTGAAAAGATCAGTGAATTTTGAAACATTTACATCAGTTTAGAAAGTTAAAGAATATTTTCAATGAATCAAAGCTATAAATTGTTTCTTAATCATTTTGAAATCTTTGAAAATAATTTTGAAATCTTAAAAAATAATATTTAAATCTTTGAAAATTAATTTTAACTTTCCAGATACAGATTAGTTGACAATTTTGATGTGAATCTAATAGCAGTTTTATTCAGATTATCAAAATTGTCCTTAAATCCTTAAAGACAAACTTATCAATCCATCTTTAGCAAAATTTATCTTTCATTTAAACTTTACAAAGAATCAAAAAGATCTCAATTTGAGATTCCCAACAATTATTATTCAAAGATCATCGGAGATCATCTTAGAATTTTCTAAACTCTTCACTTCACAATCTGCTCCAAACTCGCCTCATTAACAACACTGAGTTCTAAAACTATGAATTACTTTCATTTCATTCCATCTCATCTCCCAATGTGTGGTAAATTGTCCAATTAACAAACTTTTCTTCATTCTTTCAACAGAAAATTTCTTTCATTTTTTATGAACTTAATAATTGGACAGAATTCTTTAGCTTTCATGCCTTCAATCAGTTCATCTATCAACAGGAGCTTATTAGTCACAATCTGTGCTGATTGACGATTTTTTTTCATTCTCATTTATCAAACTAGATGAGCACTTTACAATTTTTATTACTGATCCTACCTTTCTTTCTGATTAGGGTTTAATATCCTTGATTAATTTTGGCTTTTTTTATATGATTTTTGTCACTAAGTTCTCATTCACTGCAATCTTATGCTCTTTCAATCTTTTCTAAGATTTATTCTTTTTTCAATATTTCTTTTATATCACTTTTAAGTCCACGAAGAACCGAAGAAACTTTCCACAAACGATCTTTAAAAGTTTCTTTCAAACTTGCGCGCACTTGCTTGAATGTTCCTCAAAAGATGAATTTTTTTAGGGAAATAAACTTAAAAACCAAAAAATAATAATTTGTTAGTAAAACATTTAGAGTTGCATCTTTCTCAAAATACTGAATAGCAATGACTTTGAAAGTAGAACTGCTTCACTCTTTTATGCTTTCTACCGGTAACAATGTATTTTTTTCTACTCAAAACTGTTTTTTTAAGGCAGAAGAAAAGAAAAGTTGGTTCTATGAAACCACACGAAGAGTGACGAGAGAGTAACCGCAGATAGGCAAAAAAGTAGCAACAAGAGAAATGAGAGAAATGTTTGGTGATGAAAACTTCTTACACTGTTAAATGTTGATGATAGCTCTCTCTTACATGAACTTGAAAATGCTTTTGTGTTGCACGGTTAAAGTGAAAAATGTGGAATGAAGGAACGAATTAATACAGACACAAGATTGGAACAATACGAATGAAGTAAATTTCTCATATTTCTCATGTTCAGCATAATGTGGAGCAGTTCTGCAAAATTTATTTTTAGCTTTTTTTCTTTTTCAAAGGTAGCATCAACATCAACAGCAGCAAGCAAGTAAGAAGAAAGAACAACAAAAGAACTGTACAGAATAAGAAGAACAAACAGTTTCCACACTTGAGGAATTTTTGAGATGATTTTCATTATCACGTCTTCGTCATTCCCGAATTTTTCGTCATCACCTATTCAGTTCTGCAGAAAATACGAAGACATTTGATACTGCTCAGCATGCTTGCGACACAAATTATAGTGATTTGAATTTAATGAATATTCTCTCTGCCTGCTGTTGATACTGTTATAGAACTCGAACGATGAACATTTTTTCGTGATTACAAAACTTTTTATTTTTGATTCCAAAAACTGAGAAAATTGTTTTGTGGCTGTATGCTATGCCGTAAGATGATAATTTCGCGTAACATTTCATAAAATGAGGTCAAAAAGAATTCAAAACAGTGACGATATCAATAAAGACAACGGGGAATGTTGGTTATGACTTAAAAGCACATAGCAAGACAAAAGACTTTAATTATTGATTCACCAACGAACCCGCTCAGTCAATCTTCGTTTTGTTTCATTCAATGTGTGATTCTCAGTACGAAGAAGAACTCCAAAATGAATCAAATTTCAATTGAATTTCTAAATCTTTGTATTTTTAATTCATTATTGTTGCTAATTTTTACTTTAATTCCGAAAATGAGCAGATCTAGCGGTTCTTCTACTTTTTTTTTTCATTTATTGAACAGCATTTAAGCTTATGAATTGAATATATTTTTGGGAATTAAGCGATCAGATAGTTTAATGTAATGGCAAAAAATAAAAAAAAAATCAATAAAAATTCATCGAAATTAATTGGAACAATTTGGAGATTCCATTGTTGATTCTTTCGACTTCTTCATCTTGGTTCTTCGTTGGGTTGTTATCTAACATTAGTTGAACTATTTCGGATAGACAGAATCTTGTCTGAGACTACGATAATACTTGATTCTAAACCTTAACTTCGGTTTAATCTAGAATTCAAAACATCCCGACAGAGTTTAGTTGTCCAAAAGTAATCACTAGTTAAGCTATCAAATATCTGTGCTAACAACACTGTTTCTATTGTTGAGACCACAAATTAAAAATTCGAATGACAAGAAATTCTATTGATTAACGGAGAAACGTTATTAAATTAATTCAATTATAATCATGATAATGGAAGTAGAACTGGATGCGGCAGCACGCGAATGCATTGAGGAATTTCATTAATCTACATCAAAATCAATTGAATTGCACTTCAATAATCTCAAATGATGAAAAATTTCTGCAAACATTAAACGGTAAATAAATTCTTATATATCCATTGCTATTCATCTAATTCCGACAGTCTAAAATTGGAATGAGCCAATTCTATCGATGGATAAAAATCGATATTTGTGGTTTTTGTGTGTTTACATCCAAATGAAGTCATGAAAGTTCATTAAAATTATAATTTAGAATTTTTCAGATCAACTTTTTCAGACTTAAAAGTCATTATTGGTCATTATCATGATGAATTTGCAGACATGGCACGATTTATGTGATATGAGTCGATAACTCATTTCAATTCCATGTCAAACTTCATCCATCAACTCGATTCATATCTTATGTCTTATGACTTGTGCATCTCATCGTCGTCAACATCCAGTTAAGTCTGCATAAATAGAGTAAAGCATTGCGATGCTTAATTTTGATAATTACGTCAATAAAACGTTATTCGGTGAGTTCTCTTGAGATTTGCTAGACCCACATTTTGATGGAATTCCATCATTTAATGTTGTAATGAATTGTTCTTACATAAAAGAAGAAGAATATGAATGACATGTGATGAGATTGAGAGCAGCACAAGAAATAATTTGCATGTTCATTAAAATGATGAGACGATTTTGGAAGCGACAAACAAAGAAAATGACTTGCTGCTCTCTTTAAATGGTATTTCAATTGAAGTTCTACTGCTGCTGATGATGTAGCATGTACAACAGCATGTGTCGATAATTCGCATGGCACATTTTCCTGCTTTATTTTATTTTACAATGTACAATTCTATCCATTTCCAGTGATGATGTTGAGGAGAATTGGAGAATTAAATTAAATTCCATAGTTCATGACAATAATAAACGTTTAGAAAGAAGCGAGACTCTGCATGCATGCACAGAAAGATATGAATAGATCTTGTTGGTTGGGAATAATTTATTCGTAAGTGAGGAGGATGAGGAGGAATAGAAGCAAATAAAACATGACATTTAACACTCATTCGTATACAAAAAGAATCAAAGTCATGTCAGCGCATGAGGCATCTCCGTAAAGCATATATTTAATGAAAATGGCATAAAAACTTCTGAATTGGGTCATCAAATAAAATGAAATAAAACAACAAGACACGACAACAAGATGATGATGATCATCATTATGCCTTAGTGACTGGATGACGAGGAGTTGATGTGAATGATTATAATTGTTGTGGATGGAAACAACAGCTTAATTCAATTCTTTTACTTCCGAAATCTTCCCATAAGTGATCTTTGTGCCTCACCTAATTCCTCTCTCTCTCTCTCTCATTTTTGGGATGAGTAGTCATGCTGATGATGGGAATGAGGTAGTGCATTAAAGCTCTTAGCTATGAAACTCAACCATTACCATTATTTGCTGATTTTGTGCCATTTCTGATTTTTCTTATTCCTCATTCTTCTCAAAAAAGTCAGCAGAAATTTAAATAAAACTTTTTTGCGGATCTTCCAGCGGCTTTTTCTGTTGCGATTCCAATTGTGCATACAAAACAGATTGTTTTCAGCACTAAAAGACGTAATAGGTAACGCTTGGTATTATTTGCAATACAATCAGCACCGGATAAGTCACATTGAATCAAGAGCTCTTCAAGCTTCCATTTCATGATATTTCCTTCCTTCTTTCTTCGACTTAAACCATTTCTTATTGGAATTGCTTAATCGATTAATTTTGAGTCCATTAAAATGCGATTTTCTCAGCACTTCTTTCTCATCTCGCAACATTATTTACTTAAAAGTTACAGCAAGCATGAATGATGAAGAAGAAAAAGAAGTGATCAAGTCTGTTATGCAATTTTAAGATCCCAAGCGATAAATAACAGTTGATATTAATCACATACTTAATAATATGCTGCCGTGCACATCCATGCAACTTACATTGCTTATTTTATCACTGAATTCACTTGACAAACTTCATCCCGAGCTTTTCATTCCTTTGATTTAAGATTTGCTCATTTTAGAGTTCGTGACATGCTCAGAAAGGAATTGCACAGCAGGCAAGCACAATGAAATTGCAAAAAAAATTCTCTGAAATCGAATATCAAGCACAGTCGATAGAGACCAAAGAGGAAGACAAAAGTAAAAAGTTAATCTCAGCGGATATTCTTAATGCTTCCATAAATTAATCAAAAGACCCACTTCTATCGATGACAATAAATTATTGCCAAAAAAATCGCAGTCACAGAAAATAGAAAGTCCAGAAGTGGAAACTGTAAAGATCATCAAGATACAATGGACATGTAGTAAGCAGTAAGTGTAAAATAAGGAGAAACATCATCACGACATTCGGTTCATTGCGTGAAATTCAGCAACAGTAGATGAAATTTTCTGGATGACAAAACAGCTGGAAATAATTTTACAATTAATTTAATCATTCTGAACCTTCTCATCTCTTCTTGCTGCTTGCTTTTGTGCTACGATCAATTTCAACAATCAATCTTAATTTCTGTTGACAGCTTACCATATATCTATGCTTAACGCCTGTAAATGCCAATTTCTGTTCCTCACTAATTTTTACTTTAAAATGAGCTTTAATGCTGTGGCAAAAATAAGGCATGGAAAATATTTTTATTGGAATATAGGTCAGTCAGGCACCTGTGTGAAGAATTTAATCAACAAAATGATAATGAGAAGAAGAAGTTGAAGCGATGAACAGCCTGAACAGCCCATGAAATGCTTCAATGAATAGGATTGCATGTATCTACTCATGCTGCTGATCAATGAGATGTCTAGAGATAGCGATGAAGTTATGATAAGTGTTTTGTGGCTCAGCAAGTTATTTGTTATGATTGATGTGTGATTTATGTGGCAAAATTTAAGTTGATGACGACGATACTCGACGCTATTTAGCGGTGCTTATAATTAAAATATCTGCACATGTACTAAGGCATTGAAAGATCCAGTTTTGATGCGAATTTAATTACTTCATCACTTCAAGCATGCAAAATTTGTTGTGACAAGCTAAGCAGTTATTTACTAAGCTGCTCATGCTTTGCTTATGATGACTATGGCTGTGACTGTGGAGAATAACAGTGAGATGAGACGAAGGAGGAGATGAAAATGAACGGAATCGAAAATTAAAAATGTTCATCACTATCATGTTCTCAGCTGTAAAACGGATGTATTGGCGTAGCTGCTGCTGCAAACAATGGCTGCAAAATTTTCAATCGAAAATAGAATTACAGTTAAGAATTCTGACAGATTGACTAACTGACTTCACTTTAATGCGGATAGATTGACTGACTGACTGATTGTTCTGTATGTTACA